TTAATAAAAGGACTTGTCAAAGACTGTCTACTGTCATTTTTTACACTACACTTTTTTTGTGAATGAGTAGCAGTACCAGATACCCATACTCATTCACATAGGGGAATGGTGGGACTTGGGGGCCCCCTTGTTAAAGGGGGCTTCCAGATTCTGAAAGCATCCTCAGACCCCCCACAACCACAGGCCACGGTTGTGGGGAAGAAGCCCTTGTCCCCATGTTGAGGGCATGTGGTCTGGTATGGCTCAGGTGCTTGCTTGCCCCCCCCATGTTGAGGGTGTGTGGTCTGGTATTGCTCAAGCGCTTGTTTGTGCCACCCACCTGTGCCCTGCAGTGCCACCCAGCAGTGCCACCCACCTGTGCCCATCAGTGCCACCCATCAGTGCTGCCTATCAGTGCAGCCTCATCAGTCCCAGCTCATCAGTGCCACCTAATAATGCCGCATAACAGTGCCAGCTCATCAGTGCTGCCTATCCGTGCCACCTCATCAGTGCCCATCAGTGCAGACTCATTTGCGTACATTAGTGAAGGAGAAAAATTACTCATTTACAAAATTTTACAACAAAATTTTCAGTTGTTTTTGGTTTGTTTAGCAAAAAATAAAAAAACTCAGAGGTTAAATACTACCAAAAGAAAGCTCTATCTATCTAAAAAAAAATGCTAAAACTTTAATGTGGGTACAGTGTTGCATGACCGCGCAATTGTCATTCAAAGTGCGACAGCGCTGAAAGCTGAAAATTGACCTGGGCAGGAAGGGGGTATAAGTGCCCTGTAGGCAAGTGGTTAAAAAAAAAATGTAATTGCGGGGCAGGCAATGCCGGCAGCTCTTTTTACATTCAGCTGTCAGTGGGAAACCCCGCTGACACCTGAAACATTAAAGAATGTTTTCACTACTGCATGACAATATAACTCATGCGGTATTTTAGCAGCTGTGCGGTATCTTACTGCATACTCAGATGAATTAGAAGGAACTGTCCCCTCTGCTCGAAGTTTTGTGGTCGAATGTTCGACTGTGAACTGAGCAGGAGGGTGTACGGCCCATCACTTGTCTATTTCGTATCATTATCAGCTCCATCTTGTGGGCAAAATGAGATATTTTTCTGCTTGAGGTATTTCAGGAAAATACAGCATTGTGGCCACTAGATGAAGCCAACAATCATATCAAATACATGTATCAGACACATTACGGGGATTATTCACAATGGCTGTGAGATTGCTGAGATGCTCACACTGCTAATATTTTGAGGTCTATTTATAAAATATTCGCTATCAATGCAATATATATGAGTACCATACAGCTCAGTTCAAGCTGTCACTCAGACATGTGAGCACTGTTCCGTGTAGTGCCACCCTGAGCCAAAGCCATCCCCGGGGCAGGTCAATGGCAGCCTTGATGGTCGTTCAACCCAAAAGACTACAGACATCTAGTGCCATCTTAATACCTCATACGATAAGGCAGTTTTATTTATTTGGAGTTCAACTAAAGATGTCCCCATGATTTTTTTGGCATTTACCAAATATTTTCTATTGCATATACCCACTGGACTTTTTTTTGCCATGAAAGTTGCCCCATCCCTTGCTCACAAAACACAGTCCATTTGCTGCTGGGTGCTGCCATCTTGTCTGTGACAAAATTCAGTAAAAATGTTTCAAAGCACAACAGAAGTGATGGAAGTAGATTTTGCTAATGAAGGTGTGAGACTTTTGACATTAACACGAAACTAAATTGTATCTGAGCACCACAGACTGAAAACACTATTCTTATTTAATATTTATAGCAAACGCACCCATCCATCCATGTCTCCATGTTTGATTTTGTTGAGAAATCACTTTGAGGGCGCCCCCCACAGCAATTCTAGCTGTGGCCATCTTGAGTAAGGGCAGATGATTCATGTAGCAATTACTTCCTGGAATCCATCTGACCTTAGCTCAGGCATGCAGGCAGGAGGGTGTGCTTAGCTGAGAAAGTCAGAGGTGTCGGCAGGGTCCTTTTTAACTCTATTTCCCCAGATGATAGGAAAAAAAGTTTGAGCCATAACTAAAGACCATCTTTATGGATGAATACAAAGTCTCCTCTGATTGTCACAATCACAGTCTCCACTTCAGCCAGTCAGAGGAGGCTTTGTATTCATTCATAGAATACAAATCCTTCTGTGAATGGCTGAACAGCGTTCAGACTGACTCTATCTTGTTTCAGGAGTGGGACAGGAAGTCTCCATCTCATTGCTGGAACACAGAGCTGTATACTGTACACTTGCAAGAAAAAGTATGTGAACCCCTTGGGATTATGTGGAGTTTTGCATGAATTGGGCATAAAATGTGCTCTGAACGTCATCTAAGTCAAAACAATAGAAGAACACAGTCTGCTGAACATAATACTACACAAACATTAGATGTTGCCATGGTTTAATTGCACATAACATGTAAACATTCACAGTGCAGGGAGGAAAAAGTATGTGAACCTTTGGATTTAATAACTGGTTGACCCCTCCTTTGGCAATAACTCAACCAAACGTTTCCTGTAGTTGCAGATCAGACCTGCACAACGATCTGGAGCAATAACAATGGCTGCAACAGCACAGAATTTCAATCGCCTTCTGAGTGGCCCAGTCTTGTAGAGTCCTGACCTCAACTTCCGATTGAAAAAATGCTGTGGCAACAATGACCTTAAGAGAGCGATTCACACCAGACATCCCAACATATAGAATATTGCTACACTGAAACAGTTTTTTGTGAAGAGGAGTGGTCCAACATTACTCCAGATCGTTGTGCAGGTCTGCATCTGCAACTACAGGAAAGCGTGCTTGGTTGAGGTTATTTTGCTGCCCTTTCCAGCTTCAAGGAGGGTCAACCTTTTCTGCGAGGCATTATTAAATCCAAAGGTTCACATACTTTTTCCAATATCATCCTCCTCACTCCTGGCTGCACTGTAGACATGTTTACATGTTTATGTGCAATTAAACCATGGCAACATCTAATGTTTGTGTAGTATTATGTTCAGCAGACTGTGTTCTTCTATTGTTGTTACTTAGATGACATTCAGAGCACATTTTATGCCCAATTCATGCAAAACTCCATGTAATCCCAAGGGGTTCACTTACTTTTTCTTGCAACTGTATGTAGCTGAGGCTACATACAGTTAAAAGTAAAGTTTTTTTTTTTTTCTTAAAATAGGAGACATGATATGCTTACCTGCTCTGTGGAATGGAATTGCACAGAGCAGCCCTGAATCTTCTCCTGTGGGGTTCCCCGCTTGCGCTCTTTGCTCCTCTTCAGTGTTTGCCACCTTCGTAAGCCTCCCCTTATGGGGGTGCACATGCAGGCTCACTCCTGAGCTGGGCTGTGTGCTTCCATTAACCCATAGAGAGAGTGTCTTGGCTCCACCCCCTACTCTCTGCTTACAAGATATGATTGACAGCAGCAGGCACCAATGGCTCCTACTGCTGCCTCTTTATCCTGTGAATGCAGGGAGAAAGGAGAGAGCTGCTATAGATGAGTGCACCCAGCAACTGTACCTTTTAGTGCAGTAAACAGTTCATTTTGGCCAGCTCAGGCCAAACAAACTATTTCAAGGGACATTAAATGTGGAATTAGGCTTGAAGGAAGATCATCCGTGTTTCTTCCGCTTTTCTGGTGAAAAAAAAAGCAGAAGAAAAATGTGATTGTGTATTCCTATGGAACTCTTCACACTGATCTGTTGCAGGTCCACTGCAGTTTTTAAAATCTTGCCACATTTTTGGTGCTGTAAAAAAAATGCTCCTCCCCATTTAAATGAACCCGTGTTGCATTTTTGGTGCGGTTATTGAGTCACATGTCTTGTAAAAAAAAATGCCCCGCAAATGAGGTAAAAACGTGGCAAAAAAAGGTGTGTGGGAGCCTGCGTTTTTGCTGCATTTTTGCTACATATCAGTGTGAAAGTAGCCTTAGGCTAGAATTGAAATATAACAAAAAGCAAAAGTGGAGATGGGTTAGAACACCTGTCAGGTTTGTATTGCTGTCTGAGCCTCCATAAGGCTAGGTTCACACCTATGCAGTTTGCTTTGATTCATTTCTGCAGTGCGTTTTGACTTTTTGCCGTGTTTTTGATGCGTTTTGCATTTTTTTTTTCTTTGTTTCTAGGCAGATTAAAATGCATCAAAAACACTTTAAAAATACATAAAAAATGTATTACATGATTTTCTGCAGCATCTCTAATGAAGTCTATAGGACTAAAAACGCAACATTTTGCGTTTGAAAAGGTCCCTGGCTCTTTAAAAAACAAACATACTGAGTTAAAACACAGAGATGTGAACCTGTCCCATAGGAAATCATGTTAAATGGAGTGTAGTGCGTTTCTGCAAAATGCAGCAGAAAATGTTTAGGTGTGAACCTAAACGTAGGGAGATCCACTCACCCTATTTGCCCTGGTTATCACCATTATTGAAGGAAAACCCCACATTCTGAGTGGTCACCTGAACAACAATGGATCTTAAGAATAATAAATCTTCCAGTGGGAACACAAAGTTATGGTGACTACTAGGGATTTCCTCCTGCTTTTGATTGTGTCACAGGATATGACAGGAAATCTTCCTAATGGGACACAGATAGTGCTGTTCCCTTTATTTTCACCTGGTGATCCTGCTAGTAACATACTTTCTGTATTAGGGTGACAACACTGCTCTTCCATACATACAATACAGTAAGTGAGTGTCACCCTAGGACAGGCAGTGTGCAGTGTGTTAGGACTACAGAGCAACTCCCTCCCCTCTCACCTCCATAACATGAGGAGGGGATCTATAAAACACTTAAGAGTACTTGGCAGGGATAATACCACTACCTGAGATTTCAACAGACCAGACAGACACCACAAGAGGATTATAGATAGATGTGATTTTTTTTTTTTAGCAAATAGAAATAACAAAATGCTTCCAATTGTATATTTAACAGACCAATAGGGAGCAAATAAAAGAAGATTGTTGTTAGGGTTTACATACACTTTAACCACTTCCCATCGGCCAGACGTTTATAAATGTCCTCCCCGCCCTCTGCTTGGGCGCGCTCCCTGGGAGCGCGCAGCACCGCGATCACCGATCGTTGTACGGGACCTCTGTGTGAGGTCCCGATCATGTGATCACTGATTGGCCAATCAGTGATCACATGAAGAGTAGTAAGCAAGATGTTACTTCTGACATCATTGCTTACTACTAGTGAAATCTGTGAATGATCACAGAGATCACATGGTACAAGGCTATTCACAACAGCCTTGTACCATGTGACAAGCTGTGACCAATCACAGCTCACACAGTATTTCTCAATGGCTGCAAGAATGCAGCCAGAGAGAAGGAGAAATGATTGCTTTTACAGCCTTTGTGGGTGTAAAAGCAATCAGTGTAAAAAAAAAAAAATCTTAATCACCCCCCACAAGTAGTACAGGGGGTAAAAGTGTCCGGACTTGAATTGGTTAAAGCTGATTTCTAGGCTGGTGTCCAGTGATGGATTACTAAATAGGCAGAGCAGGCACCAGCCTATGGGCCCCACACCATTTAAGGGCCCCAACACAATAGATCAAAATAACATTGATTTGATCTTGAAATAAAATGACAATGAAGCTTTCTAAAAAATTTTTACAAAAGACAAAAAAATGAATCAACTCAAAGAAATTAAAACTTTACAGTAAACACACTACAGAGAAAATACTATATTAATGTAATGTACCCAATAACTTAAGGTACATAAATCAGAGACATTGGGTTCAGGTTACAGCTTGTCTCCTAAAAGCTCATCTTCTTTCAGCTCTCAGTCTGTAAACCATTTTGGTGTAGCCTACATATGTGTAATGTCATCTTCATCTAGCAGCTGATTTAGGGTTGTCACCTCATGCCTTTAAAACTGAACACATATTAACCACATGGCGCCCAGCCACTGTAGAAATACGGCAGCAGGGCAGCACGGCTGGGCAAAAGCACGTTTTTAAACGTGTGTTTTGTAAACAGGTAGGGGGCGCGAGTGAGGCGCGCCGCCGCCCTACCTGTCCCGCCGATCACAGCCGTGGATGTCAGTCGCCGGGTCACAGCCGGTCGTTACCGGCTATGTCCCAAGAGTCTAAATCATACATTTAATTCAATAATATAATCAAACCAAAAACACTGAAATTTGAAATATAGCGCCAAGTTCGCACATTGCTGAGCAAAGTCGCAAAATCTTTTTCAGTGTCTGATGACGAATTTCCCCACGGATCATTATCACTCAATTCTGCAAGTGGTTCTGATTTACTATCGCTGTTCTCTAGCCGGTCTAAACCCGCTTTTGACCTAAAGGGACACTTTTTGGACGCCATGGATGTTTCTCAGTTTCCAGGCAGAAAGAACAATCAAAATGCAGGCAGGGCACAGGACAAAGCACTCGGGACAAAATGTATGTGAAATGGGTTGAAACAGCAATGTTTTACTATGTAAAATCGTTTTTTAAAAAATTACATTTTTTAAAAATTTTCAAATTTCCCGCCGCCGCCGGCGGCGCCCGTACGTCCCAACGTCACAGGGACCGGAACACAGGAGGCGGATGCCGGCATCAGCCGGAGGAGATGGCCGGGGACGCTGCAGGGGACACATCGCAGGAGCCAAGGACAAGGTAAGTGCTACAGGGACTCCCTATGCAGCGCCGCATGGTAAGCCCGAGTGTAGCTCGGGGTTACCGCTTTTGGTATAGACATTTTACCCCGAGCTACACTCGGGAATACTGTTAGGGAGGTTAAATACCACCAAAAGAAAGCTCTATTTGTGTGAAAAAAATGTAATATGGGTAGCGTTGAATGACTGCGCAATTGTCATTCAAAGTGTGACAGCGCTGAAAGCTGAAAATTGGCCTGGGCAGGAAGGGGGTATAAGTGCCTGGTACTGAAGTGGTTAATCAGCCACAGTACCTGTGTAATTAATATGTGTTCAGTTTTACAGGGATGAGATGGCAACCCTAGCTGATGTGTAACACTACTTAGTTCAATGGTATCTCATTAGAGCACACGACAAACCTCCAGAAACCTACAAGGGTGGCCCCAAGGTTTCAACTGCCTAGGGGCCTCCAGAGTATAATCCAGCACTGCTGCTGTCCAATATATCCATGCATTGCTCCTCTTGCATTCTAAGGGTTAAATGCTTATTTTGTCTACAGCAACCTTTCCCATCCAGGGTTCCTCCAGAGGCTGCTAGGGGTTCCTTGAGCTATGAGCAATTGTGGAATCTGATCTCCCACCCACAATGCCCACCAATGCAAAGGGTTCAATTTTTTACTGACATCCAATTTAAAAGTAGTCACTTCTACAATGAACAGCAATCTAAGCGGGCATTTTTTTAACTCTTTGTTCAATAAAATTTTATATTATACATTATGTATAAGAACAATGCAATGATACATGATGACATACTGTACACTTATGAGATTGTGATATGGTAAAAAAAAAGAATATAAGCTTGAAGAATTGGAGAAAATCATTATATGTTACATCAAATAGTACTTATGTTTTAGGAAGGGCCCACTGATTAGCCGCAGGTTCCTCTCCCAGGTTAGTGCAGCTGCAGCCAGGCACAAAGCAGCAGTCAACCCCTTTCCATTTTTTTTCTTCAGTTCAGTCATGTTTTTTTCCAGAAAAAAACGGATCAGTTCACATCAGTTTTTCATAAGTTTGTCAGTTTTTCATGAGTTTACATCTGTTTTTCATCCGTTTTTGTCCATTTACATCCATTTTTTGTCAGATTACATCCCTTTTTGTCAGTTTATAGTTTTTGTCAGGTGTCTTATAAATAAATACTGTATAATAATAATATCCCTTTTTATACCTGTTTACATCCATTTTCATCCGTTTACATCCATCGTTCATCCGTTTTTGTCCGTTTAAATACGTTTCCATCCATTTTCATTAATTTACATCCGTTTAAATACGTTTCTGTCCATTTAAATTCATTTTTCGTCCATTCCAATTTTTTTTAACAGAAGAAAAATAGGGTTTTCTTCCATTCAAAAAAAAAATGGATGTTAACGGATGCGGACATTAACGGAGGTAAACTGATGATCATCTGTTTATATCCACTAGTCCATATAAATACATGGGTGTGTGTTTTTCATCCGTAAATAGACAGATGAAAAATGGACAGTACAGAACGCCCATGTAAAAGAGTGGGAGGAATAGTGCCCCATCATTGGTGTCAGTGTGGGAGGAATAGTGCCCCATCATTGGTGTCAGTGTGGGAGGAATAGTGCCCCATCATTGGTGTCAGTGTGGGAGGAATAGTGCCCCATCACTGGTGTCAGTGTGGAAGGAATAGTGCTCCCATCATTGGTGTCAGTGTGGAGGTAATAGTACCCCATCATTGGTGTCAGTGTGGGAGGAATAGTGCCCCATCATTGGTGTCAGTGTGGGAGGAATAGTGCCCCATCATTGGTATCAGTGTGAGAGGAATAGTGCCCCATTATTGATGTCAGTGGGAGGAATAGTGCCCCATCATCAGTGGGTGGAGCTCTAATAGGAAGAGGTGGAGCCTACATAGGAAGGGGTGGGGTTTACATATGAAGGGGTGGATCTTAAACAGGAAGGGGTGGGACAAATTTAGATGCAGGGGGGTGCCCGATTTTAGTCTTGCCTAGGGCAGCACAAACCCAAAATGCACCACTGTTCCCAATGCTCTTGGAATGTGGACAGTCCCTTGGCATACTTATGTACGATGCAGGACTGCTGGTCCTGCATTGCATGTGATGACATTGGGGGAGCTTGCTAACAGTGCAGTGAAGAAGAAGCTTCGAAGAACATACAGCCCAAAAGAAGACTGTTGGACTGAAAAATTAGGTAAGTCATTTGCCTTCTATCCTCCATTAATCCTCACACTGTTCAGAGAAGGAGGGGGGATCTCACTGCATGGATACGATTTACAGTAGCCTGGAGGGGGCATTCAAGTGATACTAAACTCTATAGATTACATTTAAGTATGTACTCTTAACATATAAAAATCCCTTTGATTACTCTCAGCCTCTCCCTAATTTCCAAGCTCCTTTTTTTGCTACTGTGATGGGACCTGAGGGTGGCTATACGTATTCTTTGTGGCCCCATTGTACTGTACTGTATGTACAAATGTAGCCACACTCTCTTGCTTGCTCCCGAGATGGACTATGAGATTTGCATTGTGCATAGAGCAGTACCAATGACCGCAACCAATGTAACCAAGAAACAATTTCATGAAAGATAGAATACAGGGCCATGAAGTAGTGCAGGTGTATGGGCTATTTTTGGAGAACAAAGATATGGTGGCACAGTGGCTAAATGGTTAGCACTTCCACCTGGCAGTACTAGGGTTATCAGTTCGAATCCCAACCTTAGCACCACCTGCATGGAGTTTGCATATTCTCCCTGTGCCTAGATGGGTTTTCTCTGTGTACTCTGGTTTCCTCCCACACTCCAAAGACATTCTGGTAGGTGAATTGGATCCTGTCTAAATTGGCCCTAGTATGTGTATGTATGAATGTAGTTAGGGACCTTAGATTGTACGCCCCTTGAGGGTTAGGGACTGATGTGAATGTACAATATATATGTTAAGCACTGCAAAAATTGACAACGCAATATAAGTACATAAAATGAATATTGTTTGGTGTCACTTTAAGCCTACAGAATCTCACAAAACAGGTCAAAAACATACTTTTAGCTACAACATAACAGCATTGTTAATAATAGTTCCACTATATACTTGTGCAGGCAGTGAAATGTCATATTTAATGCCCATGACATTACACGTGGATTGGTAAAAACACAGTATGATGGATTAATTTCATGTTTGGAGTTAAAATACATTGAAGCATCCTTGGATCCATGGCCATAATGGAATTAAATAGAACTGTGACGCAGGAGTAATAACAATGGCGAAGCCCAACTGCAAAAAATAGTGGCAAACAATTCTATGGAGAAAAAAAAAGGAAAGCGTTTACGTCTGTAGGGTTCTCCAGCACTATTTGTGCAGCAAACATCTTCATGTTGTGTTATGGGATAAGTATATACGCTGTCATTTGGAATAAAGACCCTGAAACAATCTCTCCTACACACAGCGCTCTGAATCACGACAGCTTCGGTGCGCAGAGCTGCTGATTGTGTGCAATTAATGTCTGTTAATCAGGAATGTTCTATAGATTATGGGTGCTCAGCTGTGGAGTTGCATCAGCGCGCAGGTTGTGGATTTTTTTTTTTTTTTTTAATTCTTCTCATTCATATTTTTGGCTTTTTAAAGTGACCCTTTCACTATGGTAAAACTGAACTCCAGGATAAGTAAACA